TATAGATATAGATATAGATATACATACATACATACATACATACATACGTACATATGCTACTTGTATACAGAAACATATACACGAACAGAGAACATTTTGAATGCTGGACTTTCTTTATTGCGGCAACTTACATTCAAGTGCTGAACAAAGAACCAAGTATTGGCTTCTGGTTTCTGCGGACACTAATCCTGGCAGAACCCAAAATAAAACCTTACGAAACAGTATTCTATAAAGCCCAATAAACATCCTCAGTAAAGACCTACAAGTACCCTGTAGAATCCTACAAGACAGAAAGCCTATGCTACTTACAAAAGGCTCAGCATCGCTAAGGTTAGGGGTTTAGCGTTGATGAGACTTTGTCAGTAAACTTAGGAAAAAAGGGTGTAGTCAGAGGAGACCCCTACTTAGGCCAACTATAACCCCCGATTATAAGCCTTACTAGGTCCCTTGAGCCCCTTAAGCCTTAAGCAACCTAGAACGGGCACCGTAGGAAAGCAAGTATCTGGCCATATGGCTCATATGACCGTCTGTCTACCGTGTACTTCTTGCTTTTGGGTTGTCCAAACGAACTGTAGTTGCGAGGATGGATCCAACATTGCCCCACGCTGCGGCCTCACTGCCGAAGATGCCGCAGACGCCGCGTGCAAAGATCTGACGGATGGGGCCAAAATCCTGTCGAGGCATTGCCACGGCTACCTTGTTGTTCTGTCTGGGGGAATGCTCCAATGCTGGATTGCCTCTAGGGTCCCTTGTTGCTATATCCCGCCCATCGGAGATGTGCACTTGTGTACGACAGAGCCAGAACAATGCTTATTTATGATGTAAGGGTTCAGCAGTATGGTAGGAATCTTTGCAGCCTCAAGCACCAAAGCAAATAATTGCAGTGATGGTCATATTTAGCAACAATAATTGCGCAGAGCATATCTGGAAACTCCATTTTTTGAAACTGAGGATCGCTGCTACTGCTTGAGCGGTCTTCTGTAAAGGTATAATGAAGAGCTCACGCTTTTGGATGAATTGCCAAGTCTCGAGATAGTGTGAGCTTGGCCAAACGTAGCTTACGAGGCTTATGTTCGCAATCAGGACCGCTTTTAGGTTCAGGGTTTAGGGTCCACAGTGTGGAGTTGAGTTCTCAGCTAAGGAAAACGTCAGTGAAACCGGTATGTCAACCCGAGCCCAACAAGCGCTCTACCCCCTCAAACCCTATAAAGCTAGTCCCGAAATCCCAGGGCCCAACATCAGTTGAAACCGCCCAACGCA